TATTTCAATCAATAGATTGAATACTTCGAGATAATTAGTTGGTATAGTCTATTGGACACGTAGTATACAACTAGTTTAGTAGTGCCATACTAATTGCAAAAGTCGCGACTACATAAATTTCTTCATCCTTCAGTTTAGAATACTAGATCAATTATGTGGAATAAATCTGGGTGAGGTATTTAAAGAATGTAATTTAACGGTACTTAATGGAGATTTAATAAGGCAATAATTTAAATTTTCCAACTAGTAACTGTAGATAATGCTGTAAGTAATGTAGAATTGTACCTTTGCATTTTTGATTTACTACTACTGATTGAATGGATACTCGTAGGGTGCGTGATGCTTGCAGAATTGTCCGGGAAATATTGATTAAATTAAAACTTCCCGAAAATGCAAAGAACAATCGAGGCTGGTACAGCATAGCATATTTTAAAATGTCTTTCCTCAATAGTTCATTATAATAATTTCTATCTGAAGCATATATTTAGTAGATATAACAATAGTTAGTTGATGTATATATATATTTCTGCTTAGATCAACTTTCACGATTGATGCCGCAAAAGATGGTCGATTTCATAATTAATAAATCTATTTCTGCAAGCATGTTTCCTCTCAGAGGTCTTCTTGCGCTATGACGGTTTAAAAATGAAATAATAATCCAGAAATTAATCATAGCTGTAACAAGGGCAATTCACAGTATATTTTCTCTGAAGTTATAAATTGCAATTTGGTGTCGCTATTAAAGCAATTGCATTTGAAATAATCATTAATAAAAAACTGCGATCTTAACATCATAGATATTATTCTGTGACATCCAGGTCAATTGTAGTATTGCAAATTGGTAATAATTGTGTACCGCAAGTATTGCACATGGTAATTGAAACAGTGTGAATATGTCTATATGTACTGCTTTCCCAGGCTATTCCAATTTCAATCAGCTACAGAAATGGTGCCACTATTATCCATCATTATTTAAATCATTCCGCATAATTGTTAGCACTTGTATTCTATTACATTAAATCGAAATGGAATCACATTTTCCTAATACAATAGATTAAAAATTGCTTAGTCAATAAGAATTAAACGGTGAATGCATAGTGGAGGTACTCTTTGTACGATGCAAATGGATACAAATCTCCACTAAAAAATAGATTGTACCTACTAGTAGTATACTATATAATGATGCTAGGTATGATTCACTGGCCTTAATACTATATCTTTTTTCCATTATTTCTCTAAAATGCAAGCATAGGTTTTGTTTTCCACCTGTTTCCTTCACAAAACAAGGCGATACTAGAAATTAAAAATTTAGTTCCCATCGATAATTTAGAACAATTACTGTAATGGGGTTGGCTATATTAGATAATTCGTATTTCCTAAATGGAAAGCAGATGTAAAGCATTTCGAATAAAATCTCTCCTTTTTTTGTCATAAGTAAGAGAGCATAACCATTTTTATCTTCGTCCATCCGAAACCCCAATTAACCACCCCAACAGGGTTGCGTTTCTTTTATAGCATAATAGATGTCACTGCCTCTTTCCGTCTTGGCAGAAAATTTACAAATGAATTAACACCTCGCGGTGTAAGTGACAACTGTAGCCATGATCAAATTAGGAATCAAGACATATCATTTTTTACATCTATGGTAGTAACTGCTATTCAGGATGAACTGTACAGGGTGCATTCGCATTGTAAAATTACAGATACTAAATTCACACGTACCTATTACCTTATACTGCCAGTATTTATCAAGTATTAATTAACAGCATAATCTTTTTGACATCGTGCATAGATTTCAGGGAAAGCACGCTTAATAAACGATATAATACGAGGAATAATGTTGAAATACATACCACACAGTAATCTAGCTTAGATGTAAATTAGGAATTAAGCTGCTTGAAAAAATATTTTGGTGTACGTGTTTGTAAAAGTTCCCATAAAATACAGCAATTTGAAATGATAAAAGGACTCAAAATTAGATCGTTTATATTTGAAAATAAAACGTATTATTACTTCTGGGCTTACGCATACATGGGTTTAGCACCTGCTAGCAGATTCAATATAGGACACATAGTTAAATATATTATTAACCAGTTAATAAAAGTAGGACTGGAAACAATAACACAGAATCAATTCTGATAATATTTGTTCGTCATTAATTTAATCGATTTACACACAGGTAAAATTATTAATAATGGGCAGAATAAAAAAAAAAACAGATGGGAATATTTTATATATCCGGTTTTATCAACCTTGTGTTAGATTGAAATTCTAGATAGGTGATGTTTAATTTTACGCGTTTATCGATCTGCCTTGAACCACTGATACTCTGATGTCGCTTTTAAAGCCATCAGTATTATTAATTTCAAAGTTCAAATTCAACACTACAAAGATCATAACATTAACCATTATCTAGAAGAATAGTAAATAGTTTTTTAATAGAATTTTTAACTAGATCTTCGCATGTTGCTGTTGACAAAGTGGCAAGGAATTGCAAGTATTAAAACGATTTATGGAAACAATCGTAGTATCATCATATTTTCGTTTGCATATACTGTACAGTTACAGATTAAAAATTTATAAATCGATTACGGTAAAAGCTACTCATGCTACTAGAAGGATCATTTAAAATAACAATTTAATTCTTGAATTAATTCAATATGTTAATACGAACTATCGATCATGTTTAGCAATTATCCGTTAAAAAGTTTCTTAAGGAAATAATGATGCAGCTTATATTAACCATCGATTGCGTTTGGTAATTCGTTCAAAATTTTATAATAAAATAACGGCTCCTATTTTTAACGTTTATCGTATTACTCTTCCTTATACGCTAAAATCAGCATAGTGATGAGTCCAACACCAATTTGTAAATTCTTCGTTGGATATCAACGATGCAACCTAATAGAGAAACGGTATCTCGAACGTTTGCATGACATGCTGATATATAATGAATTAATTAGTTAACTTTTCAGTTCTAAATCACCGCAGTCATCATTTGTGATGCAGGTGATCGTAACCCCTAACCTTAAGACTACGAGGTGAAAGTTTAAATACACATATGAATAATTATATAATCACCTTTCTATTTCATCCTATAATAAATCTCCAGCATTATTGCCATTCTTAGAATTTAGGCCACAAGGTATTAAATATAACCTCCAAATCTAGCTATTGCATTTACTGAACTAAATACTAATTTAGTACTTTAAATATTTATTATGTTTCGTAGGATGAAATCTAGTAAGAGAAAGGGATAACAAATGTATCATCACATATATCGACGTTAAAAATTTCCGCTTAAATTAGTTAGTAACAATATGGTATACTGTATTACAGCCTTAATTTTTTATCGAATAGAATAAATTGTTGCTTTAAATATTGGTCATATTCATTGATTTCGTGACTATATGGACTGATTGGATCAAACACTTGCTTCATGATCGGTCTTGGCTCGATTACTGCTGACTCTCTTCCTTTTAATGTACTGTAATTATTAATTATTTGCAAAATGAGGCTCATTGCTAAATTGCCTAGTTGGCTTTTCCGTGTTGTTAATTCATCGATTATGCGGTCCAAGATACTGCTAGAATGAACAACTTGTGTTTCACGGACGGTCGGACTCTCGGTATGGTAACGCACGATTGTATCGCGTGCGCATGTTTTATTTTCCATTCCGTAAATTGGTACTGTACCGGCAATGTGGAAAATACAGTACTATACTGTACTGTCCTGTACTGTACAGTACAGGACATGGTAACCTTGGACTGTACGCTCTGCGCCTGCCCAAACTTGAAAAAAAAGAGATGATGACTTTACGGTAGAACGTACTAAACGTCTAAACCTGATCGACTAGTAGTACGGTACGGTACTAGTACCGAAAATAACAGTACTACTAGCCCATGACAGTACCGGACCGAACCGGACTGAACCGAGCCGTACCGGACTGTACCGTGGTCTTCGTCTAGTGGTCCATATTTATAACTATCACCAGTACAAAGGCCTTGTTGTTCACTATGCAGCAGACCTCTGCATTACGCAGTATTACACCAGGGATCGAGGGTGGTAACCAACCAAGGCTGCGGCGACAGCCATCGAAGATCGATAGGAAAGTATACAGTAGAAAGGAAAGTGATTTAAGCTTGCTTTAACTAATATGCTGCTTCCATTCGACGTTGGAGCTCCATCGATTTGTCATCATCATCATTACAAGAATAAAATACTAATGCCGTCATAACACGGAGAGCTTGTGACTTCTTGAGAGAAATCATTTGAATCAATATTATGCAAAAGTATAAAGGCTCCGACAAGAGAAACAAAAGATCATGCTAATACATTCTATTGATAGATGAATTATCATTATTGATGACTACCCATTTTATTTGGATATCTACTCGATCAATAGGCTTGGGTCAAAGAAAATTAATATAAACCGTCAGCGACTCGATCATCATTCTACTATTCAGGTTGGTAGGAAGAATTAGTACTGTTGGTGGCATCCAAGTCAAACCAAAGACCTTTAAAAGCGGCCTTACCGACAGCAATCGACATTTTACTCTTGCCTCAGATCGAGAGACTGACTAGCCAGGAAGCGCCAGCGGATGAACGATATTTCGAAATTGGATGAGATCATTCAAGTACACTAGCTAGCAAGTCGACCATTTAGATCTACAGTATAAAAAAAACACCCCATCCTTTCAACCTTCATAATACGATGAGGTCTATACAAGCAAAGTTGTAGTAGTTCATGCCTAGTCTTTACTTCCGTCTTTTAATTGCTTTGCGTCGCTTATTACGAGATCGCCTCTGACAAGCAATCCTATCCATTGATTGCGTTAGTTTTGAATCTTTGGCCTACTGTAATACAGACAGTTATCCTAATACAATATTGCAGCTGATGGAAGTCGGCTTTTCTTTCACTCCAAGTGTTATCCAATAGTCGATGAAAACCAGGTTATCACCATCTATAGTAGCATCGATTGTTGGCCCCGACAGCAACCATGGTCATTTTGGTTCGTCGTCGATTAGCACGTCTTGCTCGATACAGTCTAACTGCCATTTTTCTATCCTTGCTCTTGACTGCAATCATCACCATCTCTTACTTAAATATCTCCTAGTAAGTATCATTCCATCATAATTTACTGATTTGATGATAAATTTCAATGACGCCTATTTCTTTCAATCCATCGTCATTTTTACTCAACCTGAGTATCCTCATATCTACAGAATAATCACAAGCTATTCTTGCCTATGAATATCTACCGGCGAGTAGGCTACAGTAAAATCGTTATTTCCCTCCCCCCTTCCAATGTTTTTTTACTCCTTAAAGTATTCAACTTTAACATGCAATCAGGATACAATCGTCCTATTGTACTAGATTAAGTACATTACTATAGCACGCAGTAATATTGAGTTAGAGAATAATACTCGTTTCCATTTGCAACTTATTGTAATTGAAAATAACAACTGCAAGTTAATTTGAAATCGTATCAAAACCTACAACATCAGCCTTTATTCTACATGCAACGACAATCGTCTCTATCCATATTACCATATACTGTACAGTAAACGATTTGATCACAAATCACACCTTAGAAATCCCATCATCAATTCAAAGAGTTCATTAGGCCGCTTGCCAATATCCCCGTTAATATTAGCATTAACCAACTTTATTACCGTTAACTGAGTTAAAAACATGCAAGAGTGCTAGAGTCATGAAGCAAACATAAATGGGATCCATAGTCATCCGATAATCGGGTATGGTTGATAACGGGCGATATGAGTTGTAAGAAAATCTTGGAGGGACTATCCTTCAGCTTATTATTATTATTGAACATGGTACAAGTGTGATGTCGAAGTAAACTTCATGCTAATGTAATAAAGCAGTAGCACATTATTTTTTATCAAGGCAGCCATAAAATGTCAATAAAATAAACAACTTAAATTCAATATATTATAGCATTTGTTCATCTTATTCTGATCCAAGTAGAATCTTAGACGCTCCTAGCAACTAACTATCTACAGCATTTTATCCAACATGGACAAGAAACCTCGTGCTAGCATTACAATATCAATTTCATGAGGCTGCTCTAACGTTGCTTATACTTGGCTTATTATTGTTTATTATTGTTATCTTTATTTTGTGATTGATTGTGCAGTATAAATTTCAAAAGAAGTCATGTCGGCAAATTGCGTTTTAGAGGGGAATTTAAGCTAATTGAACCTTTTGATATTTAAATAAATTGACTTAAGTAACAAGATCAGATAGGATCCGTGTGGCAAAATGTTTGCTTTTATCAGTAACACCTGCCAATGATTGAAGAGATTGTAAAATGTCTGTACTGCCCATTTTTACCAGACACGAGTTACAATTCAAATCCAATCTTATTAATATTCATCAACACTTCTTGCCCTACTACACTTTTCATACTGTTATTTCCATAAATAATTTCAAATTTATTAAGATCTTTTCATCGAATTGGTGCATTTATTACAGGACAATCACTCACAATGATAGTTTACTGTACTGAAGCCATCAAACATAACTTAGTTTGGTTTGTAATTAACTCTTGAATTCTATCTTCGTCTACTTTATGAAAGAGAATCAAATTGAATACTGTAAAAAATATACAAACGTTGCAATCACCTATTCACTTTAGCCGAATACGACATGTGCGTTACAAGAGATGTACATTGTACTCATATCTTTTACTTATTTATCCTTTGCGCTATTCTAAGGTATTCGTCTTTCTTATTCTTGATTACAAATTACACATTTCATGGATGCAGTCAATGGATTAGGCAGCTTTATCTCTATCAATTTTCTGATATCTCCCTTACAGTCATATTGTTGGCATTGAAATTATTTACGGTTAAATAGATGAAATTAGAAGAAAATACGGTAATACTACACAATCTAATCAATTGTCGTCAATTATAAATTAATATAGAATATCAATCTTGGGCATTGTAGTCTATGTAGAATAGGCAAAAATAATTTAGATGCCGACTTTAATGTGCCTGCCGAAATTAATGTGGTATAACTTGCAATTGCTATATTGGGTACGTCTTCTACTCTACTGTAGTTTGACCTGTAGTAGCAGTTGATTTTATATCTGGCAAAGATTGTATTCACTGTTAAACACTAAATTATTAATCAAAGTGGAATTAAATGAAACAAGTGCTTTCGTTCGTTCATTTTTTGAAATCAACAGGCCTGGTATGACGAAATATCCTTCCACCCAACTCATAACTAACGAACTGTAAACAGATTTTAATATGTCGGCGGCGTAATATTATTCTTTTTCCAGGGAAAGATTACGTACTAAGTTCGCTATTATTACCTAATGAATCATCGTACAATATTAACGATGAAATAAATGCTACCTCAATTGAAATTCTTTTACGCGTGCCAAAACAAGATATTCACGGAAAAATATTAATTACGTGCAATGACATACATACTCTTACAACATTGACTACATCACATAATTCGTGGGAAAAATCGATCACGTAATATCAATGATCGCAACTCTCAAGAATGACTTATTTTTTACAAACTACGATATCCTCGCTTACACAATAAAGTTCTTTTGGCAATCAACAATATATCAACATAATGGATTAGAAAGTAACTGAAATTACGTATATTATACAGATATAGTTGTACGCCATTACCAATGGGAACAATGAATAACTTAGATAGGGTTATTATGTTTTATGTTTTAATACGTGATTATTTTGTTTGTTACTGTAAGCAACGTTATTAAAATGGAGCAATAGCTTGCAAAATAAAATGCGATACTATGTTTACTTTTATTGAAATGTAGGCACTAGAATACAGAGGGGTTGAAACCCATTCAATGATGATAAGTTATGCAACCTTAATCATTGTCGATTTAGAAAGAACATCTTCGCTAGGCTATGTCGCTAAACCGTAATGTATATTCCAAGTGAAGATAAAACGATGCAACCATATTGACCTGATTCATGATTATTAATAATAACGGCATCTTCAATACATGGATAGCACTGTCGTCATTGTTAGAAATACACTGTTCATGGGACCCATCTTGAACGTGATCATCTACTGTATATATTACGCCACTCTATTATACTGTAGTATGAAATGCGGCGAACACACAACGCCTTATTGCATAAGCCCATGCTCACCCAACTATTCCATAAATCGTAGTTTATGGTCGATACTATAGCTTTTACGTCTGTAGTAAAGCAATCTATAGTATATACGCGTACGAGCAGACGTATTCAATTTGGATATCATTCGTTCCTGATAGAGTTAACTCTATTTTTCTGATATACGAATTTGTATGATTTTACCTTTAGCACTCGACCCACTAGTGTAAAAATTGCTCTAAAAGAAGACGGCTTCTCTAACGAAAATTCAAACCCAATTAATCAAGAAGATGAAAATACTGTCCAACAAGGAGCATCAAAAGAAAAACATGAAGAACATCATCGAAATATCAATGAATTCAAGCGCAACGATGATATTGTGATTAAAGCCAATAGTAATCAAGGAATCAAGAATACGAGAACTGGAAGCAAAAACAAAAATAGCTTAGGTCTACCAAGCCCCTCAGACTACAATCAATTGAAATCATTTGTTTTATTCTGTGGATTTCCAAGATCAGGACAAAGCTTAGTTGGAGCTATTATGGATGCCCACCCGCACATGACTATAGCTCATGACTTTAATATTCTTGGTAAGTAATGGATGTAACAGAATTGGTTTAGGCAAGCCCTTCAAGACGTTACAATACTGTTACTTTAGTCTATTGCAGTTGATCCTTATCGTGTGCACAAGTAATTGCCTATTCCCTACTTGCTACGCTATACACATAGGAATGGCAATTATTTTCGATCGTTTGTGTTGGCTAAGATGATAAATAGATTGTTAATATTATACATTTTTAACCATAGTTTGGAATCACATAATATCGCAACAAATGTTAGATTGTTATTTTCATACTATTTACTGTCATGGCAAAGTGTCCTTTAGCGAAAAATGAGTTTAATTGATAGCTCATAGATGATTATGTTGTTGCAAAATATGTAAATGTACGAGTCGTATACTCTACCCATTTCCGTCTTGACTGATGGTATTAATAATACTATCGCGATGTTAAATAAATGCTTAGTCGCTGAATCTTTAATAATAATATTATACTAGTATTCATAACATCCTGTCTTTGATATGTACTGCAATTATAGGCGGATGGTCGAAAAACTTAAGCTGGAGAAATGATAAGAAAGATCTATACCGTGCTTTATACGAAAGATCGCGAGATCGAAATGGCAATCGAAAGAAATTAGCTGGTAATCGTCGAAATTTCTTCGTTCCAAAGTTGTACCAAGGTACTTTCCAAGATTATATTCAGGTTAGGAGAATTGATTTATAATTGTTCGCATTAATTAAACAAGAATAACCGTAAAAAAATTCAATTGTATTACCTGGTAACTTATCTTGCATAGTATAACTAAGCTAACTACTTTCAAATAACTAAGCAGTCATTCTATCTACTGACTTACATTTCCGTATCCTTATCCCATATCGCTAACATTAAAATAGTCAATCACAGTTGCAAATAATTGTATTCAGTCGAAATTTGGCTTTAGAGTTAATACCAATCCATTCTATTAGATTATAGGTGATATGAGTGGACAACGTTTAACCCAGGCTTATGTTAAAGATTTTAATAAAGCAAAAAGAAATGTTGACAGTATCCGTCATTTTATTGGTATGCCCATTAAATTCATCATGGTGTTGAGAAATCCATTTGATACTATAGCTACTCAAGTTCTACGGACTTTAAAAGCCAAAGCCAGAAAAAAAGCTAGCAAAATGCAAGATACTAATTTAAGTGAAGCTGATCAGGTAATGATGATTAAGTGAAAACTTTTCTTTGACTCAGAAATTCATGTCCATCAATAATGCTAATATAAGGTCTGATTTTTGATAGGTTAATCTGACCAAAGTGTTATTAAATAAAAGAATACGAGCATACCTCAAAGCAGTGGAAGCGAACAAAAAAATTTACCGTATGTACAAGAATCAAACCTTAATATTATACCTCAATGAAATTGTAAATTCACCTGACACGGAAATAACGAAAATCTGTAATTTTTTGGGTATCCAATGTTCCAAGAAATATATAAGCTTATGTTCCGATATAGTTAACGAACAACAGTCAATTACCCGTAAACAAATTCAATGGACCGAACATCAAAAGGACATGATTTTAAATAAAATTAGCAAGACCAAATGGCTACGAAAATTTAAATTCATCGATACGTAACTAATCAAGATGTCAATAGGTTTTTCTATGTGTACAAAACAATGATGCTGATAGCAAAGCTATATTCATCGACAGCAATTATTAAAAAGTAAGCTTTATGAAACTATGTTTTTAACGTATGCTACTTAACATAACTTTCATTTACTGGTATGTTATTCATAAAACGAGAATGTAGTGTATGTATTTAACAATCCAGGTACTGTACGTTGCTACTTGCAATATCATTGTAATAATACCGCAATTCATTTAATGTGTATATATAACACATATACGTAATTCTCGCTAGTGACGATTATACTACTCATTTGAAGTTACGGGTAGTGCTACTCTAGTCTAAGGATTGAATGCGTTTGAAAAGTTGTGCGGGATACAAACTTTCACGCTCAACTGATTTCTTAATTAAAAGCTTCAATTAGCAATTTTAAGTGTTAATACAAAACCATGTTACTTCTGGCATACTGCTTCTACGAAGCAAATTTTATGTAAATTAGCTTTGCTCTTAAATAGATCATATACTGTAGCTCTATTGTAGTTAAGTTAGCAATTCGAGTAAAAACTGTTTTGAACAATTTATCATGTCCCCTGCTAAATACTTGTAAGATGCTCTTTAACAATTGTATATATATACTGGTCTATATATCGGCTTAATGTTGGCTGTTTTAAATTCATTATTACAGTATGTATGCGGCTATAGATAGCCATTTTTGCGTCAATGTTGAATTCATCACAATGCATTGTAATTCGTAATGCCTAGCATGCGTACACCTAAAATTCTACATATAAATGGTATTTACACGTAAACTTGTCTAAGTAATAAAAGAGCTGTAAATATAGTATAGTTAATATATATGCGCACAAGTAGTGATATATTTGACAAGGTATCCTCAAATTAATTATCGGATGTTGTCCAGTACAGAAACAAATCGCGTTGTAAATGAAAGTTATTTACAATCAAGTAATATATAGTTGTGAGCCATGCACTGAATGCATTACAATCATGGAATTTACGAAACTAATGTACCATACACACTAAGTTCATGGTGAAAAATACCGTATACCATGCAATAATGATAATCTGCTCAAATAGACGTATTTTAAAATAAAAAATTCGACCTTGAATCAAAGAATAATTCCTTCTTGATCGAAAATAATTGCAAACGTACGCAACGTTGCAATTTAGGAAATAAATGTAGTCGATGATATATTTAAACCAAATCCTTTTAATAAGCTTATTACGGTGTGATCTAAAAACTGAACAAAATATTAAAACATGCCATATAATCCTTTTATTTTTAATGGAATTGCGGTACTTATAGCCAATTTACAATATGGTCCAGTTTACGATGAATTCTATTACTGCTGCTACAAATAAACTGGATTAAATTAACCGATGTAAAATAGACACTGTATCGCTGATTAAAGATCCTTCTTTAAGAACTACATTACAATAAGATTGTATTGCGACTAGATTGAAGAAAGCGAATAGCTTTTGAATTAACTAGAGCCAGAATCTTTGTGATACTATTCCTCATGTCTATTTTCTACACTGTTCTTTACCATTTCGATTGCTCTGTCAACTTCTTCAGGATCACCTGATATAACTATAGCACGGGTAGTTGTTCCAGGTTGAGGTTGTCTAGCTATCCGTACTTGACAATCGCATTGGTTCCTAGTAAAATAATTATTAATGAAATACTTCAGATTATTAAGCGATCTTCGTACTAGGATTAGCAAATACATATTTGTAAATGCAATTTTATCATAATCAATTATATCTAACCGAATTTTAGTTATATTATTTCCACGTTGTCCAATGACAGCTCCGACGTGCTGTAAGGAATAAAATGAAAATCATTGTTGACGATGTTCTATCATTTTACGGAATATCATTATATACAATCAAACAAAGCATACTTACATCATTTTCAACTAATAAGTGCTTACTGACCAAGGCTTTGCCTGTTGATAACAAGAAATAAGTAACAAAAATAAATCATACATGATATTGTGTGTCTAGAATTAGAAAGAGTATGCAATTGAATATTACAGCACTTTCTAACCTGTTTCATTGTATCTTTCTAGCAATATATTCAATCTGTAAGGAAATAGAAATACATTTTTAACAAGCTATAGCTTCGGGGTTATAGCACGATATACTCGTATATTTATAATTGCTCTGTACATTTGCTATTTTTATTTTCAGTACAGTAAATAAAGCCTTGATAAGATCTACAATTGTAACTTTAACGTCAGGTTAGGTACCGAAACTCATAGTAGTACAATGACATAAACATATTTACTAATTAAGCATTCTAAAGGCATGGTTAGAAAAGTGAGGCAGGCGCCAAGTTACCTGCTCTGTATTAACTCTTTCGCCAAGTCAACGTCTTTGGAAGGACCATAAATACAGACTTCTCGTTTACAGGACTCTTCGTCTATGAAATCTTCAATTTTAATGCTGCATCCAGACTGCTTCCTAAAATGTAAAGCATTCCAATAAGATCTTACAGGCAGTGAAGATAACATGCTTCACAATTATTGCCATCATCTATACATGTTTAAAATTATCTTAATTAGCAATCTGCACAACATTCCAACGTAAGTCATGATAGTAGCTCCATTAATACAGAGTCACTGCAAGTGAAAATGAATCCTATAACCCAGTACACATCATTAGTGGGTATACACATATAGTATACTATACCTAATGCCTCCAATTATATTTCCAGCACGACCAATCAGACCACTAACAAACTGAAAGTGAAATCAATTAATTTTGTTAATGCAAATAATGAATGGAAGCTTATAGGCCAGCACAATAATTTTCTAAGGCAGGCAAGCCCTACATGGCTAATAGTTCCAACATAATACAGTTGCTACAATATATTGGTAAATTACAACTTATAAATTAGAAGTGAAAAGGAAAGAAACGATTCAGAAGTACAAAATGACATCGGTAGCTCATTATCAATTTCTTACTTACCAAATCTTCGACCAAAAAACGATGCGTTATTAAGCCACTTCGCGATTCTGGCGGAATGCCGCTAGATTCAGTATTAATATCTAAGAGTCGAACAAGATATCATAAATAAATTTAGTAACTACACGTAGCTACTATATACTGTATTCACAGATAGAACAAATGTGATGATGACAGCACTGCTATCCGAACGTGAGGCTACGAATGTGTACGAAATGATGAGGTCTGATTACAAGACACTACGTATCTATAGTATATACCAACAAGTCAATAATATTAGTTCTACCATGCATACTTTAGTTTCCATTGACGACAGTAGCGTGCCGTAAACGATTATCGGTGACACGGTCAAGTGAATTTCGGTAAAAATTGGCACAGGTAAAAATGGCTGACGTAAAACACTAACTAGATATATCACTTAAATTACAATCTTACCATGTATAATTCTGAACAAGATTATGCTACAGTATATTGTCAAATTTTCAACCCGAATTAAGTACAGTAGTTGGGCTAACGATACTCGTCTACTACTGGAAGATACTAAGTGAAATTAAACCGTAATCAAACTAAATTTGTTACTCCTAAAGCTACAACACTTATTCAAATACAGAATCTAGAAGGAAAATTTACAAATTAACCTTCATTAAATCTCTGATTAGGAATTAGACCGTTTTCCACTGGTACCACTTTTACCTGTGGCATTATTACCGTTCACCACAGTGTAGTACATTGAACCTTTTTCAGTTTACAACAGACTATACTGTATATATGCGTACGCATAGCTATCATTCAAATTTGGAAAGTTGAACGATCGGTTCCTTCACGCATTTACTTAAGGTAAAACTGTGATGAGTCTATCCAATGTTAACAGTGTTAGTAAAACGGTCGGGAAAGGAGAGGTGATAATCAATTACAATATCCTTCGTTTCTTACCAGTGCATAAATATCGGTTGGTTATCGTTGCGATACTTGGAACCTAAGAAAGAAAGAAATTCGATTTAGAAGGTTTAGTCAGTCTAGATCATGCTTGATGATTGAATACCGCACGACCATCCGTAGAATGTGTACGTAGCTACGTTATGATTGCTTTTATCAAGTTTGAATACATATGGAGTACAAATGATCAGCTTGGTAGCAATAGTGATCGAGGAGAAAGTCGACATGTCTAATGAATCGTTGATTCCCATGCTTGGATGGAAAAAAAAAATGTCATATGCATGACCTGATACTGCAGCTGGACAAATTGCAACATTGACAGCACACGTGCGATATCCTATATAGTACAGTATAGTGCTACAGTACGTTTCAAGCTATAAGTTCAAGTCATCTTTGAAAGGTAGAATAGCAGCCAAAGTGGAAAAAGATTATTGTTCAGATAGTAGGAAATGATGCCAATTAGTTTGCTCCTAGAATGCCTTGTATACTATATCGCAATTAAGAGTCATCTAGTAGTAAGATATCGTCATCCGATCACTAATTGTCGCTATTGCTAGTAAGCCCATAAGGTATGAGCAAAGCGTTGGATGCAAGCACGCATCCAGCTTGTCGAGATTCTTACCAACCATGCGATACAGTAAAAGCAGATCGATATCGTCTATTATAAGCGTATTACTATTGCAAATGAGCTAGGATATCGCTTTCCTCTTCAATGAGTTGCCAATGTCACTGCGTGTAGGGGTTGATTGCGAGCGAGCTATACCGAAATGAAATGTAACCGGTATTCTTATCCTGTCTAGTAGATCATGATTCTTCCATGCAGTACCTTGCAACACTTAACTCTATCCAATGGCATTGATCATTGACTTACATGAGATTTGATTACATTATTTCTTGCAAGCTCTGTTAGCACTTTACATTGAAGATTTGGCCTAGCATTACGCCACAGAGGCCTTAGCATTCCAATTAAACTCATTCTACAACGGAAAATTCAATTTGTCTTGACAGCAATCCAAGAAAAGAAATGGCCACAACGATTTGACTACAGTTGTCTTCAGTCACGCATTCAGTCAGCAAGTGTAGTATCACGTGTAGCTGCTCCAAATTGATATGGCTATCAGAAGACTAGAACGAGACGCTATACTGTACTGTATGCATCCTAGTCTACAGTACGACGGATACTGTACGTACAGTACTGTACAGTAGAAGAAGACCTGGACCGATCGCTCTTGGACGGACAGACCTTTTCTGCCTCATCTCGTCAAAGTATTGCTTCAAACACTTCGTTATGATACGACCTTAGTATGTCCACGGTTGATTTTTAAAGTTGCTGATTTCTATTCAATTTAGTAATGCAGTACTGTATACTGTACTGTACCGTGAAGTCTTATTACTGTACAGTACTGTACATAGCAAGTTAAAAGTTTGAGACCTGACTAATAGAGTCATTATATACCGTATTTATGTTTAACGCACAGCTAGGAGTGCAGATTCGGTTAGTTCTGCTTGGGAAAGAGTTATATAAGGTCATCGATGTTATTTAACTTAGTAGCAGTGATTTAAAAAAACAGACACGGAAGATCCATGTCCATACTACGCACTGTAAACAGCCATTTTTCGACGACCTCATGTTGTAAGGAAAGTCCGTCTGTCTGTAGAGCTACACTACAGTACTGTTATCTTCTCTTACGGTCTACTGCACTGTACACTGTACAGTACAGTACAGTTCAGTATGAGGAAAACCTACTGTAATGTTCCACTAGTACAGTAATGTACTGTAAGCAACAAGTTTTTGTCGACCTCATTTTGCACGGAAAGTCCATCTGTCTGTAGAGGTACAGAATGAGGAAACCTACAGTATTAATGTTACACTAGCACTGTACCGGAATCTTCCCCTACAGTCTACTGTACTGTGCCAAAAAATGACGCATGGTTATTAAGGTCATCTGTTAGCGTGTCACTGTCTAAGTTAATATAAACAGTAGTGTAGCGTATGGTGAGTTAGGACACCTACCCATACAGTAGTTCAGTTTGCAAGAAGTAAGAAGTCACTTCTTAGAATGATGCTCGTACTGTACTGTATCGTTGCTGATTGGTAAGGATAAGTCTCTATTGGCTATCAGGATAACAATCTCCTGTTTCTTAGGCAATGTCTGCTTATACGCGTATATAGATATCCCACTCACGTAGCTCGCTAAAAATGGAGACCAAGAAAAGTTAAATAAAATGTCCACTGTTGCAAGAGCAATACGAGTTAGGGTGCCATGAATGAATGAAATTGCTTGATATTGACAAGCAAAGAAATGCTAGTGATTATTGTACTGTACGAGCACAGCTCGTATACACTTGTGTTTGAATTACTCTAACTTTATCCAAACATCTTGGTTCGCCATCAGTTACTTTTAACATCTGACAGCGTAAAACTACGATCTTATCCACTTTATTAGCTTTAACAAGGGACAACGTGGCTTTTTGTCAAATACTAAAATATTGAAATGTTGGGTAAAGGAGAAAAAATTGAAAGATGGACTACGATGTTGGCATAAATATCACCAGAAAATACAATGTTTATTACATAGTGGATAATTATTACGTAACTAAAATTCTCATACCCTCATATTAGACGCAAAGCGTGATTCTTGCTCTTATACTTAATAGCATCCTATTCTAATCCGGTAGTTCGATTGGTTTCTTAGTTAAAAATAGATAAGGTACTAGAATAGATGAATCAAGTCTGTTTAGCTAACTATCGTTGGCTACATGGATTCGTTTGTACGTACTTCAGCGAGTAACCAAACGTATTTTTCTAAGAAATTATTTTACAACTGACTATAAACTAGATAGTGAAAATGCGACAATCATAAATTCAGAAACGATTGAATACGACAAGAATCGAAATTTGATATTTAGTTTTTTAAGATAGAATCTACGCATATGATCTATTTCTATCATATCGGGATGCTATTCTTTGAATGACTCTTTTACTAGCAATACTGATATTATGTATCCATTGTTCCATTAAACATATACTTATGCCAATATGCTTCCTTCATAATGCTATAGCAGTTTCATAAAATTTTTTAGGGATGAATAACTTAATCCATAGTTGCATTTTCAAGCTAAATGTTGTATTCTCATAACCAAATTTATGAAATGCCATGCGCTCTACGCAGAACTTAAAGTAGGCAAAATAGCATGGCAATGACGGTGAGATGAAATATCGAACATAGATCCAATCCTGATAAGAACAAAGTTCTTTTTTTCTTACTTCTTGCTTAGTAACCGAAACAGAACCAGTCTATTTCAAAATATAAGTACCATACTGGCCATACTGACTGCATGAAAGGGTTATATACCGTACATATAATAGTAAAGGAGCTCGAAAGCTACAGTGAAGTGCAGTATAAAATGCTAGCACTAAGCTGCTGAAAGACTTGTTAACGAGCTTGAAATTTCAGTATTATTAATTCAGGTTAGGATCATAATGAATCGATATCGTCCGATAGAACTGTTTTTTATACAGTCCACTACATTTTACTGAGTGCGGTGACATATGATAAATAAATACAACTATTTCAGTAAATGTCAGAAATGGGATTTGCGGTGATCCTATTAAATCATTGCTGGGTAAATATCAATAAAAAATATGAATTATGATGTCTTCAAAATTTTAGAGAGAAATCAAACATACCAAATAATATTTTCTCTCTGCAAAAATATTGAATATTGATTAAATCATTGCGTGAATTTACGGCTGCAGTGGAAGCCCTATCAAAGGCAATACCGTACTTTATTGGGCCAATTTATAGTCCGACATGAGCTCAATATAATGTACTGTAGAGTTAAGAATTCTATATAAGAACCGTACGGTACCGAAATACGTTGATTAAACGATTTTGATTCGTCGTCCAACATTCTTTACTGCTAATTGGTGAGTAGACAAAAATGATTAGTTAAAAACAACTCAAACTGTAAGCACTGCGGAAATTCTCATTTTCAAGTCTCATAACAAGGCTACTTTCTGTATACACAAAACGCGGAATTGTTAAGCTATGTCACGTAATCAGTTATATTAATGAATAAATAAATGGAGCAATTGTTTTTTCAAGCCTGATAGTAATTAATATTTATATATAATTGTTACAGTAGATCAAGTGATTAAAGTTTAGTACAAAACCACGATAATATGGAGAGAGTAATAAGTAATAAGTAATCTGATATAAAACCGATGTAAATCATTTATTTCGATGCAATGCATGGTTAAGTATAGCTTACTAGGGTTAAGTTTAAGTTTTTAAATTTCATTATTTTTAGAGTATTGAAATCATGCGAAATTCAAATTATTTCAACAATTCTACTTATAAACTGACAAGCTCACATAATTCATATAATTTTTGTAAAATATTCATGGTAAATGTAAGACTTCCAATTCAACATAAATTGTTCGATACCTTCGAAAAAAGTTATTAATACTGACTAGATAAGAAACTTCTGATAATAGATCATACCGTAATTTTATTCTAGGAATTATATCATATTATCGATAGTAAGGTATAATTCTAGAAGAAGTTGATATAGTAATACTGCACATTCAAGACAAAGTAGATCAGAAATTAATGCCGTGAAGAGGTATCAACGCAAGTGAATTTCGTTACTCAATTACTATTCTTGGAAAAACACACCGGTAGTCCCCCCTTGAAATCAAAAGTTGGTACTATAATCAATTAATATTGCAGCGGAGACAGAACTATATGTGCAGTCTAGTAATGTACAGAAATAGCTCACAGACCTGAAATTAGAATAAGATGATCGTAAATTTCATTTTGTGAGGTTGTAACTATAACTAATCAACAGCGTTGGAAATTATTAATTAAAAATTAATATTGATAAGGGCTATCAATGCGTACTAAATTTCGTTACTCAATTAAATGATAGACTTAAAAGTGAGGTAGTTTGAAAGCGTTTTGATTGTAGGCCAAGCATGAAATTCTTTGACAGCTCATTTAATTTTGAACGAAGTTCACTTTTAAATAGGTTATATACGTATATTATGCAAGGGCAGCCACATGCTGTCAATCTCTAATATACTTCAGGATCATCTCCGTTAGTTTTGTTTTCAACTAACCATTTTTACTAAAAGAAAGTTTTACCGCCATATTAACAAAGCACTATTAAGAATGCCGCAACAAACAATTGAGATAATCATGTACATAACATTCCTGATACTGTCATGACGATATTCGTGATTCGATCATAGAGACATCAAAAATAATTACTAGTCTCCATGGCGTAATGTTAGATTGTAATGTAAATAACTGTAGTCGCAATCTGATTTTTCCCTATGGAATGCATGCTACTGAATGATAGGAATGCCTCCTTTACTACGGTAACCGAATAACACAAAATAACATTTACTGATATGTTGAAAGTTGTTACGCCTATTTTGCAAGACTTTTAAAACTGTATTGGTAATAATGTAAATTGACTATATGATAGGAAGATAAGCTATAACCGATGTTTATACGTATCCCTTTACACTGAAAATTAAATAATTTAGATAGATATTATACTTTACATGTTCAACATACAATGAGTCAACGGATGAGTCACAATTATGGCAATGTATGACAATGACTGAAAATGCCATTTGTGGTTGTCGTATCAATTTCAGACTAGGAGTTTATTTCTTTCCATGGACAGAACTTGAAATATCTCCTTTTTTTCATTACCATCTTCCACCAAGTACTTCCTGTATTAATTTCAACTTAGAAATTTTTTCCTTTTAGTGGGCAGAACTTGAATCAACTATCTTACCCTTTTTCATTATCCATTATCCATTTCCATCAACTACTTCCCTGCATTAATTTCAATTCGGGAATTTTTCACTTCAGTGGGCAGAGCTTGAATTATCTTACCCTTTCTTTCATTATCTAGTTGCGCGTCGCTGTTAGAGATAACCTTTAATCTTATTGGTAACTAGTAAGCAAAGGTAAGTTTTTCATTTAAATGTATCTGCTGTACTATGGTTGCTATTTACTAAATCTTTAATGCTTAATTTAATTATCTGCATGTGAGTTAGTCATCTAAATCAACAAAAATAATAGAAAGGACAATTTTCAACATGAAGTATTTTCAATTGATTAAATAGTAATAGGGAGGAGACTAAGATCATACTTAATACATTAGGTTAGTGTATCATACTTTTGTATTATTCGAGCTCTATTGCATCCAAGCGACCACAATTAACAATTTATAGT